GGGTAATTCGGACCCTGGGAAAATGAAGCCAAAGCTCTGACTTCACATCTAAATCCCGGCTCAGATGTGACTTCCCCTGTGAGCAGACAGCAGGGCTCAGGATTGGAGGTTGGTGTCTAGGGCTGCGGGGAGGAGGCAAGGCAACCCGGAGGCAGGGAGGTTCCTGAGCACCGAGAGAGCCTGAGACGGGCCCAAGTCCCCCAGCCACCGCGGCCAGCGGCCCTCGCTGCCTCTTTTCTGTTCCCTTTCTCCTTTCACCGGTCTCTCCCTGTCTGTTTCTCTGTCTCTTTCCCCTTCCTGCCCCGGCCTCGGCTTCTCCCCAGCACCTCCCGGATTGGAGGTGTTGTGCCCATTTTACAGATGACGGAGCCGGTGCTGCGAGAGGCATGGCGGCTTGCCCCAGGCCACCCCGTGAGAGGCAGAGCTGAGGGCTCAGTCTGGGTTTCTCTGACTCCATACTCCGGGCTTTCCCCAGCACAGCTCAGAAGTCTTCCACTTCCCGGTGACGCCAGGGTGCCACAGGGAGGGAGGAGCTCAGGCATGGAGTGACATTTTCGGGGGCAAACGGTCTGCCCTAGAGGGGCCCAGAGGGCCTTTGGTGCTTTCTTTGTACTTCCTGGATCTGAACTGGAAAAAAACATGCAGGGGCTGCCTCACACATGATTCCTGATTCACACAGACACAGAAGAATGGGCCCAGACAAACAAATTCACGCAGCCCGACACCAACCCTCCGGAGATGGAAAATTCTCCTTTTACATTTCGACCCAGTCCTTCAAAAATATATTAATACCGTACAACCCTTATAAAGAAAATAAAAGGGGATGTTTTTAAAGCGCAAGTACAAACACATGTTTGTTGAGCCCTTCTGGCAGGCGAGGCCCAAGGCTTGCTCTGGGAGACAATGAGTCAGACGTGGCCCCAGGGTAGGGAACTCAGGGTCCACCAGGGAGATGAGGAGATGACACATGACAAGTAATTTCAGGAGCCAGGATGAAAATGCGCACAGCAAGCTCCTGTGGGGGCACAGAGAATAGCACTGAGCTCAGAGAGCTCAGGGAAGGCTGCCTGGAGGAGGCGGCGCCGAGCTGGGTCTTAGAGGCTAGTAGGTTGTAGTTGGCAGTAAGGAAGGGTGGGAAGGGCCTTCCAGGCAGCAGGACCCACATAAGCAGAGGAACAGGGACGTGGAGCCATGCAGTGTGCAGGGGAATGACTAGAATTGTCCCACTAGAGTTCTGCGGGTCACTCCGTGGGGGTCCCTGAATCATCCAGAGATGCTGGGCAGAGCTGTGGCCTGAGCTGGTGGTGAAGCTCGACTGGTTGGGACAGAGGAATGTCCCTCATCTCTGCTCAGTGAGTTGCTTGTATGTGGGGCCTCCTTTGCTTGGGGACAGGAGGTTGTGGCAGGAGTGGGCGCCAGGCCGCGGAGCCCAGGGCAGGTGGACACCACTGTCCAGGGCACACCCTGCCCGCTCTGGGCCCTGGGGCTCCCCAGAGTGAGGGAGAGGCAGTGCCCTGGGGTTTTACTGAGGGCAAGTTAAACGTCTGGGGAGCATTCCCCAGACTTCGTCGAGTGCCGAGGGCCCACCTTACAGGCGGCCAGGGTGGTGCCTACAAGGTCAGGTACAGCAGGGCCTGGGGGGACAGGGGGCTGGGGAGCCCAGTCTTCCTCAGCTTGGACAGGGGGCCAAGGCACTGCAGTTGGCAGGTGACAGAGCTCTGGGCAGGGGCAGGGAGCCCCGGGAGGGACTGAAGGCAGCTAAGATGAGACCTGGAGGAGCCCACTCACTGAGCCATCTTCCCTTCAGCCCTGCAGGGCACAGACAGGAGCCAGCCATCCAGCTCTGCCTGCTTGCTGGTCTGGGTCAGGATCACTTTCTTCTCTGTTCTGCTGTGCTTTGTGGATATCTCCTCTTTTCCTGTGACCAAGTCCTTTTTAAAATGTCCATCCTGCCTTGGGTGAGTGGAGTGGGTGGTTAGGAAGAGCACAGGCCCGGGGAGGGGCGGCCTGGTTGACGTCCCAGCCCCACCCACTTTAGCCTCGAGCAAGTCTCCTGACCTCAGCTTCCTTGATGGAGGTGATAACAGACCTACCTTTTGGATTGCTGCCCAGATTAAATGAGTCCCTTTGTGTAAAGCACTTAGCATGTAGTAAGTGTTCAATAAATGCTAGCCATCATCATCATCATCATCATCATTCTTGTTACCATGAAAAGGTCCTCTCTCTTCCTCGGTCAGGCTGGGGCAAGTGTCAGGGTGGCTGTGAGCCAGGCTTGGTGGTAGCAGCAGGTGGCCCATGCCAAGGAGAGCTCAGGTGCTCAGGGCAGATGGAGGGTGAAGGCCAGAGGCAGAGTTTACCCAGTGAGCTTGGGGTGACAGAGCTGGGGCCTCCAGACACTGTGTGGTGTCACATGGGACTGTCTGTCTTTCCTTTGTGTGGCCTGGGAGGCCGACTGAGCTGTCTTTCCAGCTGCTGCCCTGCCCAGCCCAGCCCGAAGTTCTCCCCTGCCTTCCCCAAGGTGGGGCCGTGCTGGTACCAGGCCATCCCGCCCCAGGGGCAGCAGCAGCCCTGTCACTGACTGGCCTATGCCAGAGACTAGAGCCCCCAACTCAGCCGCTAAGCCCAGACATCATCCCGGGGTCTCTTTCCCACCCACCACAAATGAGCTCCCAAGCCCTGTCCACTCTGCCTCGCCTGGGCCCTCGCTCCTCCTCTCCCACCTCACTGTCTCAGCCAGGACGGGTGCAGCCACTCCTGGCACTCTGCTTCCAGCTGCTCCCGTCACTCTCCTCCCCCACTGCCACCACCTCCGCCCAGCTTCTTAGGAGATGGTGGGGTCATTCAGCCATTCCTGGGAATTTGCAGGGAGTTGCTGTTGGCCCCTGTGGCTTTGCGCGGCTGGGTGCCAGCGGACTCCTAACCTGTTGACTGATCATGTGCACCCTGAGGACCCCAAGGCCCTCCCTGGTGAGGGAAATCAGTGCGAGGGCTGGAAGTGGCCCCATGATCGCAGAGGCATTCCCCCGTAAAGAGAGGATATGACCAGCGGGGAAGAGAAGTGGGACAATAAAGCCCAAACAAAGGGCGGGAAATGCCATTCTGGGTGGGTATCCCCTGGGAAGAGGCTGTTGGACAAAGCCAACGTGGGAAGTGGAAAAGCTCTTGGGCCTCCCCCCACGGGGAAGGGAGAGGCCCAAGAACATCTGCCTTGGCCCCCAGGGCAGAACAGAAATGCAGGTTCTCAGGCAGGTGTGGAGAGGCAGTTCCCAGCTGACATTTGCAGACACTTTCCCCATTATCGTGAAAAGTTTTCAGTGATGCCCCTCAAGGGCCCTCGCTTGGCTCATTCCTACTCTTTCGTCACCTTTGAACCTAGTTGCACCTTTGAACCTAGTTGCCGCTTGCCGTAGCCCAGGCCGCCGTAACAAAATACTGTAGACAGGGAAGCTGGAACAACAGAAGTTTAATTCTCACAGTTCTGGAGGTGGGAGGTCCAAGATCAAGGCAGTTTTGATCCCCTGACGGGGGCTCTCCTCCTGGCTTGCGGATGGCCGCCTCCTTGCCATGTCCTCACAGGGCAGAGAGAGTTCTGGTCCCCCTTCCTCTCCTAATCCCATCATGAGTCCCTCCCCCTCATGACCTCATCTCAGCATAATTCCCTTCCAAAGACCCCAATTTCAAATGCCATCAATTGAGGGTTAGGGCTTTAATGTGTGAGTTTTGAGGGGACACAAACATTCAGTCCATAGCACCCCTCCTCCGGAAAAGTCTTCCTTGAGCCATCCCAATAACCTGGGTTGGGAGTCCCTGCTCTGTGCTGTGACCCCATGTACGGTGACTGCCTGACCACTCGTGTGAACCGTGAAGACCCTGGGGCAGGGACCACGTCACATTCGCCACCGTAGGGGCCTGGCACGTGGCAGGTACTCGATCAGACTGGTGGACGAGGGAATGAATGAGCAAATGCCTGGGCAGGAAGGTGAGGGTCCCGCTCCTATCTGCCCTGATTTCCTGTTCTAGATTCCTTTGGTCCCTTCCTCTCACCTCCCATCTTTGTGGAAGTGGAGGAGGAGGAAGAGGAGGACTGGGGGTGTGTGTTTGACTTGCCTTATGCCTTCGCCTAAGACTCACCTTCCTCCGGGGAACCTGAGCCGTCCCTCCAGAGACACATCAGTGGCTTAGACAAGTGGTTCTTCAGGACCTTATTTTTGGAGGGAGAGGGAAGGAGGGGGATCAAACCCTTTTTTTTTTTTAACCAGCAAGTAAGCTCAAGGAAGAAAACTCTCGGGTAAAGGCCAGGAGACCCAGCCCTGTCAATAAAATCAGCCTTATTCTTTGAGCAGCTGTGTGCCAAGGACCATGCTAGGTGCGTTACTTGCATTATCTCATTTAATCCTCTTAACTCTCTAAAGGAGGCATTGTTATTATTAGTTATTATTATCATTAACCTCCCTATTTACAGATGAGGTCACTGAGGCACAGAGAACACCTGCCAGGAAAGACTCACATCAGATCCACGTGATCCCACAATCGCCCCGCGTACTCAGCCCTGGGCGGAGGCGTCGGGATGGGGCCGCGTTTCCCCGTGGCTCTGCTCCCTCTAGATGCTCCCACATCCGTGCTGGCTGGTGTCCAGGAGGTGCCAGCGGCAGGATTTGGCACGTGCCCCACGTGAGGTTAACGGTGGGGCCTCAGGAGGGAGGGGGCCGTCTGGCACCATCAGAGGCCGTCGGCAGGGCTGCGCAGGGCCGGGTGGAGAAGTAGCCCACGCTGCACCTGCAGGAGCGCGTCTCCGGTGTGTGTTAAGAAAATGCAGGTCTCCATAAAAGCATATTATTTGGTGACATGAAGGTAGCTACCAGAAGAAACAGCCCAAACCATTCAGGTGGTTGCTTCTGGGGAGTGGGTTTGGGCGCCAGTGAGCCATTCATTATTTATCATGAGTCTTCCAGTGGTATTGGTATTTTTAACCTAAATTTTATTTTTTAAAAGGTGAGCATGTCAAAGCAAACGCTCCTTCTCCACTTATAAATGAATATATTTCTTTCTTTTTCCAACCGCCTCCACTACTTCTACTACTGCCCCGTTTTGTTTTTTCCAGGAAGAAAAAATGTTGCGCATCCTCGTGCAGCACAAGGTCCGGAGCAGAGTCTCGGGCGTCGTGGGCATGGAGGTGGACGGGCTGCCCTTCCATGACACCCACGCGGCCATGATCCAGAAGCTGCTGGACGTCACCACAGGCCACACATCTGGTCTGCTCTGAGGATCTTCCTAACAGTCGCTCATGGGACACCAGCGGGCAGTTAACTGCCAGGCAGAGCACAGGAGTCAGCGTTACCAAGGCCTTGAAGAGCCCCCAGACTGCAGCAGCCACCCCCCGCCTTATCCGCAGTTGCAGTTACCCATGGTCAACTGCAGTCTCAAAATATGAAACGGAAAATTACAGAAATAAACGACTCCTAAGTTTTAAATTGCCTGCTGTTCTGAGTATTGTGATGAAATCTCGCCCCGTCCTGCTTGGTCCTGCCTGGGACGTGAGTCATCCCTTCGTCCAGGGCAGCCACGCTGTCCGTGCTCCCCACCCATGAGTCACTTAGCAGCCGTCCAAGTGGTCAGATCGATTGTCCTGGTGTCGCGGTGCTCGTGTCCAACTAACTCTTATTTGACTTCACAGCGGCCCCACAGCGCAAGAGCGGTGACGCTGGCAGTTCAGGCGCGCCCAAGACAAGACGTAAAGTGCTTCCTTCAGGTGAAAAGGTGAAAGTTATTGACTTAAGGAAAGAGAAAAAATCCTATGCCGAGATTGCTAAGATCTGTGGTAAGAACGAACGTTCTGTGAAATCATGAAGAAGGCAAACAATTCGTGCTAGTTTTGCTGTTGCCCTCGAACTGCAAGAGTTATGGCCACAGTGTGTTTGCAAAGATGGAAAAGGCATCATTTGTGGGGGAAAGACACGGACAGAAACATGTGCCAACTGACAGCAAGCAGGTTTGATGCCGACCAAGGTTTCAGGCACCGCTGGGGGTCTTGGAACATATCCCCTGTGGGTGAGGGGGGACCACCGTAATTAAGAAACGGTAAAATGAGCAAATGTGGAATGTATATTTATGAAGTTTGGGGGCTTTATGGAAGGTTTACTCACTACCACCGCCAAAATATTTATATCTTTGAAACGTTTTCTTTTTCAGGCAACATTTTGTTTGCTAAGGCAGAAGATCCCCTGAAAAACCTTAAATTTGTCACCATCGCTGCCCCTCACCTCCCTTCACCCCTGACACTCACTCCTTCCACCTCCTCCCTCTGCTCCCCCACCCTCGGGCTGGACACTTTGCCCCCAGCACAAGAGGCAGCCATGCCATGGGTGGGTCACAGAGCCCTCCTCAGCGACTCCAGCCAGCCTGTCCTTATCTCCTGTGCAAGGTTCCTCTGCACGCTGCCCAGCAAAATTAGAAACTGAGTCACTGCCCATTGTCCCAGGACAATGTCTTGTGCTGGCACACTGCTGAGTGACGCCTGACTCACCCAGGCAGGGACGGTGCGTCTCCCCAGCTAGGGCCCCAAGTGTTTGTCGAGCCTGCTTGTTTTCCTTCATTTCCTTAAACATGTCTAGTCTGATTCTATGCGGGGTGACAGTCGTGAAGAATGGAACATGTGGTGTAGAAGCGAGCTCGATCTGCAGGGCTGTGCTTGTGTGGGTGTGCTGGTGGGGCTGACGCACCCGCGGTCAGGACAACGCAAGCCTCTGTCTGTGGCTTCTCACGGCTCAGGGAAGCCACCTCAGCTCTGAGCCTCACTGGCCAGGTCTCCTACAAGTATAAGGTTTGTCCCTGATTTGTGACTGCAGAGTTCCGTGTAGTGGGGGCCTCTGATTACAGGTGTACCCGGACATTTTCGAGATCTTGACAGTGAGAAAAGAGAAAGAACTCATGATGGCAAAGCTACCAGCATTCTTCTGACTCATATTTTGGGGGAAGACACTAATGGGCCTTTGGTTTTGCAAGAGTAACAGCAGGATTCTGCTCCGGCATGGAGAAGTCTGAGGCATAACCGTGTAATAGGTTATCTTCACCGTGGGCAGAAATCTATGGGGAGATGATTAAGTTGTTTGGAAAGGAGGTTTACAACCAGGCTGAGCCCAGGGAAGGCTGAGAATAGGGGTCCTAGACTTGGTGGAACATCCAAAGGCCCCCTGTGGGGAGAGGCAGGCCCGTGGCCTGGCAGCAGGGGCCAAGGCGCAAGGGAGGGTCAGGAGAAGGCCCCTCAGCAGGGTCCAGCCCAAGGACCACTGGAGCTGTGGTTCCCAGGATGCAGTTTTGAAGCTTGTCCATTCCGCAGTACGACTCCAGCTCAGACTCTTAGTATAAAAGTTTTGCTCAGCTTTGCCCTTTTGTCCTAGCCTTGACTGTGCTTTGGGGAAAGGTCTGTGCCCATGTCTAGGGCAGCATGGAGGGCGTGGCTGTAGCCTGGAGAGGCTGGTTACAGGGGGACATGAGGTGACCTACAGGGAGTGGTGGGGGGGCCAGGGTGAGAGACAGGCCTGGTGCTGAGCAGACATGCGGGGCATGTCCAGAAACACTGTGGGGAGGGATCCTGGTTAGTAGGATACAGGCCGCTCTGTGGATAACCAAGGGTAGCCTGGAGACCTTGGACACATGGAGGCAGCAGAGGCCACACAGACCCTGCAAGAACCAGGACTGGAAGGCAAGTGAGCCAGCTAAGGGGAGCAGGGCTCCTTGCCCCCGGAGGTCCTCCGGCCAAGAGCTGCCCCACACCCAGCTGGGAAAGGCATTGCTCTGGGGTCGCTATTCGCCTCTCATTGCAGGGGCCCTGCAGACCACTAGCCCCAGCTTCGTCCAGCCCACTGCACTCTGCCCCCCACACGTGGCTTCCACTGGCTCCACAGTGAAGTCTAACTCTCAGGTCAAAAATCCACTGCTCTCTAGGCCGGATGGAGAGGATGTGGCTCACCAGCAAGTCACATAAACTCAATATATGTCAGCGACGTGATGTGCTTGCCAGCAGCAAAGAAGCAGAGAGGAAAATGGTCCCTTTCTGTTCGGAGCAGGTCAGATGGACTTCAGATCTGGATGTCATGTTTGAAGAAGTGGATTTTATTCATATGAAGGAACAGGAAGGTAAGAGCTTAAAACCTGGTAAGGGAGGTGGCTCAAAGAGCTGTCTGTCAGAGATGGGCCAGATGCTCACCAACTCTGCCTCCTCTTCCTGCACACATAGAAAAACTCCATTTCCAAGCCTCCCTTGCAGCTAGGTTGGGGCCATGCGACTGGGATCTGGCCAGAGGAGTATGAGTAGCAGGGATATCAACCACTGCCAGACTTGGCAAAAAATACCTGTGAGATTCTCTTTGTGCTGCCTCCCTTCCCTGTGTGGATGAAAAGGGAAGATCCCAAGATGGCAGACCCTCTAGATGGAAGGAACCTGAATCACTGCCATCGCTTGGGAAAACAGTTTCAAGAAAGCAGCCTCTCACTGGACTTTGCATGAACAAGGGACAAACTTTTAAGACACTGTGATTTGGGGGTTTATTTGTTGTTGCAGTATACTCTAGCCTTGCCTAACATGAGCTTGGAAGGGTTAACGCTGAGAAGTAGGATACGAAAGTTATCTTCAAATACCAGTTTCTCAAGGGCCATGTGGCTCCTGTGGTTCCACTTTGGCTCCCTGGGAGTTAAGATTTTCTGCCCAGCCCTGAAATGGCTTATCGTGGGTAGCGAGGTAGCTGTCACTGGTGGTGTTTGCAGAGAGACTGGACTATTGTTTTGGGGGGATGTAGATACTTCATGGAGAGGGAGCTGGATAGTATGACCTGTCTGGTACATCCCAGCTCTGATATCTAATGTCTAACCTAGGGATGTTCTTCTGATAGTTGTTGAATTAAAGCAAATGGGATTATGATTTCATCATTTCCACCACTGTGACTCCAGGATGAATGCTATCTGTCTTAGTCCATTTTCTGCTCCTGTAACAGAACACTACGGACTGGGTAATTTATAAAGAACAGAAGCTCACAGTTCTGGAGACTGGGAAGGCCAAGAGCATGGCACCAGCATCTGGCAAGTGTCATCCTGTGGCGGAAAGCAGAAAGGCAAGCCAGCTTGCAAGACAGAGAAAAAGGGGACTGAAGTCTCACAATAACGGACCCTGTCCCATACCGCCATTAATCCACTCATGAAGGCAGAGCTCTCAGGACCTAATCACCTCTTAAAGGTCCCACCTCCCAACAGTGTTACAATGGCAGTCACATTTCAACATGAGTTTTGGAGGGGACATTCCAATCACAGCGCCATCAAAGACCACTGTCTTGCCAGATGAATTCCAGGAATGGAGGCTGCAGGGTCACCAGCTGCAAGAAGCAAGTTTTCAGAACAGCATTGAGCCAAGAGGTCAGAGTGTGGCTCTCTTTCGGTTGTACCAGCCAGGGTAGAAGAGCAGATGGGGATGTATTTCATGCCAAAATTTTCTCCCACTCTCATCTGGCCGACCCGCAGACCAGTGTGTGCAAACAGGAAGACGAGCCCTCATCTTACTAAGCAACACTGGTGAAGAAGAAAGGAATCTTAATGGCTTCTGTCACCTTCAGTCCAAACCAGATGGACTTTTTCTTCCACCCATTCTCTCTGGAGAAAAGAGTCTTAATCCCCAATAATGTCCTTACTTAGTGTGTTTGGAAGAAGGATCTATTCTTCCGGAACACTCCAGGCCTCCAGGAGCCTGACCTAGAGAGAGATTAAGTGAACACCACCAAATTTACATTTTAATATGATGAGTTAATCCTTAGTAATAAACACGGAGTCTGCCACGGTGGAGAAGATGCTCCAGCCTGAAGAGGCTGGTCAACATATGTGGGCCTCTCAAAACAAAACCCAACCACTGAGGACAGCCCCAAAGAGACGAATGCAACAGATCCTCTGCTTTGGGAATTCTAGACTAGTTAGGAGGGGAAGGTCTGACTGAGCCCTCCCTTGCTGTGGGGAGCAAGTACCCAGCAGGTACCAGGGGTCCTGTGGCTGACGACAGAGGGAGTGACAGTCTCCAAACCACAGGACTGGACTCTGTCCTCAAAAGGGAGGTGGCCAAGTGAAGTCCAGAGTGGATCTGCAACACCATACAGACACTTTCTGAATCTCAGGAGGAGGGAGAGCAGACCCTCCTTCACTGCGGGGGTGGGGGGGGTCCGTCCTTCTTGGCCACTGTTGAGTGATCAAGGGCAAGTCCCCCAATTGCTCTGCTCGAGTTTTACTCTGAGAAGGTCAATCCCTGGACCTTCCTTACTCCTTTGGGTGTTTCAAGGGCCCTTTAGATCCCCCTGGTGTTGGAAGACTGCAGAGTACTCCTGCTGAGGCTGGTTACTTTGCTTTATTTGCAGACTGAAGTTTGCTACATAAACCCATGGCACAGTCAGCACACACAGACTTGACAGAAAAGAGAGGACAATACAAAAATACAGTTCTTGATAGATGGCACTGCCCTCAGCTTATCCCAGTCCGTGCCAGTGGAAACGCTGATGTCTACGGTCAAAACAGAGGGAAACACTGGAATGAGGCGGCGTGGAGGGTTCAACCAACGCCACTGGCCCGGTAAGATCCTGGGCTGGGGAGGAGTGGGCTCTTCCTGGCTGTGTGGCCATTTCTGCCACCTTCAAATCTGGTCACTTCCTCGTCCAGGAAGGAGAAGAGAACCCCCCCAGGTCATTGGAGGCCCTCCACAAGGTTCTGGGCAGGGGCTGCCCAAAGTGAAGTATAGCCCTGGGACCACAGTAACCACGCCTCCCTGGGGCACATCCAGTCTGGGCTGCCTGCCTCTGGGCACCCCTGATGAACGGGTTAAGAGACACAGGGTAAAGGATCAACCTCTTGGAGGTTGGGGAGAAGAAGGGAAGGGAGATTGAGGAGGGGGTTCTGCCTGGCCCCCTTTGGCAGATTCCAGAAATGTTCCAATGTGCCAACTTCTACTCCCTGCCACTGGATCCGCCCCAGGAGTAAGCCCACCTAGTCTCTTGGTTCTGAGGAACTCGAATCCCTGGCCTTTGAGGGCAAGCCCTGGGAAGTGAGGGCTGGCCCCAGCCCACTGAGCAGAAAGTCTGCAGGGCTAGCATTTCTGTGGAAGTGGGCAGGTCTCCTGGAGCGGCGGGCAGTTCTCTTGGTCCTTGGCATGGTCACGAGAGCAGGGGCCGTGCCTGGCATGTTGCAGAGGCAACAATAGGAAGAGGCCAAAGGACCCCATAGCCTCTCCCTGCCACTCTCCAGAGACCTTCAGAGGGACAGCGCTCAGGGGCAGGAAGCTTTGTTGCAAAACTGAACAGGAGAGAGCCCTGTGCGTGTGTGTGTTGGGGAGTGGGAGGGATACCTCAACATGGTCAGGCACGAAGTTGCAGGAGAGATGAGCCTCTACCCAGCCTTTCAGGACAGAACAAAAGATGGCACACATACCCAATGTCACTCTCCAGGTGGTTGAGGTGGGATATCCAGCAGCAGAGCAGAGATGGAGAACAGAGGCCACCTCTTCTCCTTGTCACGGGAGCTATTTAAACCAGAGCAGACTTAACCCCAGGCCTTTGGCTGAGAGTTGCCAGAGGGTGCACCTCTGTTGTGTTTGCTCTGTTGTAGCTGAGAACTCGGGGAGAACATCGTGCTCCTCTCTGAGACTGTTAGACACTCCATAGCGGGTGTGGAAGGGGACAGGGTGGAGGGGATGGGGTACTGCGGTCACAGGGTCCTAGCCTCAGGGTCTTGGCACACAGCTGTCGTGGAGACTGTGGCGCTTTAACCATAAACACACACACTCTCCCCCACCCCCACCCACCCCAGGCTTCCAGGTCTGGCCCTTCTGGGAAACAGAAATCTAATTAGGAGGAATCTGTGTCAGGCACTTGCTTAAAGACACACTGGCTTCAGGCTCCTGTCCTCACACTTGAGCTTCAGTGCTGACTTTTTAAGGAGCACAGGCATCTCCCCAGGGAGCCCTGGGGAGCCCTGGGGTTTGTTTTCCATCAGCCTTCAGGCTGGGGATCTGCTCAGCCTCCTGTGAAACCGTGATGTGGCTGGAGCTAGAGTCCTCCTCTGTCCGTCACACCCTCACTGTCCTTGCTCCCACTCCCAGCGCCCCAGACGCCCCCCACCTTCCTTCTGCCCATCTAATCTTCCCTTCCCACCCTGTGTGGGGCGGGGCTCCAGTGTTCATGATAACAGCACAGCTTCATGTGTCCCATCATCGGGTAACAGCGGTGCATTTGGACAGGTATCATCTGTGACGATGACAACGGCCTTGGAAGGCCCTGGCAGGTGGACACCCAGATGCCCGCCTCACCTCCCGATCCCCACCCCATGTCCCCCCACTCCACAACCCCTTCACAGCTCTTTGAAAACCTCCCGGAAGCTACAGCTCAGTCTTCCTCCCCCAAGGAGCCCCAGCCTGGCTGCATCCAACTGGCCAAGAGGACACCCATGAGCCCGAAGGGCTTATTCCCCTCCATAGACCAGGGCCCATCCTTCCCTCCTGCACAAAGAGGCACCTGTGCCTGGGAAAGCGGGGGGCAGCTGGCCAGCAAGCTCAGGGCCTGGGCCAGCAGCTGCAGGCTCAGGCCTCCCCTGGCCCCAGCATGGGGGACCCAGGCTAGGCTGAGCCACCCATGGGGGACCCCCCTCCTGCAGGCGAGCCGGTGTGGAGCTTAGTTAACAGCTCGGGCTCCTCGCCCTGGGCTCCGCTCTTTCCCGAGGCCTCGGGGGCGCCCAGCGGGTAGGCCTCCCGGGCCCGGCCGGTCCTGGAGCAGGTGAGGAAGGCCAGGCAGGCCCCGCGGAGGCGAGCCAAGTCCCTGTGGGTGGTCTCGCTGACGAAGCAGTACAGCACGGGGTCGGCCACGCAGTTGAAGCTGGTGAGCAGCAGCGAGAAGTGGTAGGCGTTGAAGACGCCCTTGGCGAAGTCGCAGCTGGCCTCCCAGAGGCTGCGCACCAGCAGCAGCACGTGGTAGGGCAGGAAGCAGGCCAGGAAGATGACCACGGTGCTGAGCACCAGCCGCTGGATCTGGTCCTTGCGGCTCTTCTGGGTGCCGTGGCTCCGGCGCACGGCCCTCAGGATGCCCTGGTAGGAGGCCAGCAGCAGGCAGATGGGGAAGAGGAAGCCCACCAGGAAGCGGTAGTAGTTGATGCCGCGCTGCCATGCCTCTATGGGGTAGTGCTCGAAGCAGACGCGGTGCTGGTTCCCGTCCTCGATGACCTCCTTGTGCATGAGGAAGTAGACGCTGGTCAGCAGCTCCTTGGTCCAGATGACGGCGCTGACCCCCATGGCCGCCTTCAGGGTCCGGAACTGGTGGAAGCGGAAGGGGTGGGCCACGGCCAGGTAGCGGTCGATGGAGATGCAGCAGAGGAAGCCCACGCTGATGTAGATGTTCTCGTAGAGGAGGATGCCGCACACCTGGCAGGACAGGTCCCCGTGCGACCAGTTGTCGTGCTGCAGCACGTACTGCAGCCAGAAGGGGAGCGAGCAGATGTAGAAGAGGTCGGCCACCGTCAGGTTGCACAGGTACACGCCCAGCTCGTTGCGGGCCTTGATCTGCAGGTAGCCAAAGTAGAGGGACAGGCAGTTGGCTGGGAAGCCCACCACCAGCACCGTGACATAGACCACCGGGGCCAGCGTCTGGTGGATGGTGTGGTCAATGGTGCAGCTCGAGGAGTTGTCTGCAGTGCTGTTCCCCATCTTTGGGCCTGAAGGGGCCTCCGCTCTCATGGGCTGTGGGACTGGGCCGGTCCCTCCACCGCCATCCCGTCTGTAGAAAGTGCTTCGAGCGCTACCAAGGGCTGGGCATCACTGGCGGGGGGTGAGCCCCTGAAAGCCAAAGGCAGGAGAGCCTTAGAATAATAGTAGCCTCCACCTACATAGCATCTACCGTGTGCCAGGCATTGTCCCAAATCCTCACTCATTTCGTTTAGAAGGAGAGGTAGCAGCCAACCAACTCCAGCTCAACTAGAATATCTGAAGGCGTCACCATAGCAGGACCTGAAACATGATTTGCGCCTCCCCGTCCCCTTCCCTGGCTCCCCTTATTCACTCTCTGTCCCTTATTTATTTTCCTGGTCCCTTGGTGCTGCATGTAGGGCCAGGGGTTCTCAGGACCATGAGCCCATCCTGAGCCCAGCTCCCCAAGGGAGGCCCAAGGCAAAGATTAATTCCACACGCGACAGTGACGGCACCAGCTGCCCTCGTCCCCAGCAGTAAGCGTCACCCACATTCACTCCACTCCAACGGATGAATTAGTCCGTTAACACTGGGGCCACAGCCCCCCCTGCCGCCTCTCCAGGCAGCATCAGAGGAGGCCCAACCTCATCCACACCCTTCTGCGCTCTGGCAAGAAACAGCCCAGCTTCCCGCAGGCACCACCGGGCTCTGGGTGCCCATCAGCGAACGCCACCTCTCCTCTCCTGCATGGAGCCGCGGGAAGGCTGTGGACCAGGGCCCAGGTGAGTCTGCGTGAGCCACTTACCTTGTCTGAGCCTCAGTTTCCTCACCTATAAAAGGGAAATACAAACATCCCTGCCCTCGGAGGTCAGGATCGGGGCCACGGGGACTGACGGGTGTGAAAAAGTGCATGGGGGCGGTACAGGGTGGTGACCCTACTCAAATAGCGAGACGGTCCTGCTGCTGAGAATTTCACGAAGAGCATGCCAGATGCACAAACAAGTTACACAAGACAGAATAAAATGATTTGTCGTAAGCCTACTTTATAAATTAGTAAATCAAGATGGAAAGCCTGAGCTGCTCTATTGATTTAACTCCTCTCTCTCAGACGAAAAACCTCTCTGTATCGAAATCAGCGTCTTGCAACCCTTTGTTCATGATCACTACTTTAAGGAGCCTTTTTAGACATTTTTTCCCCTAACCGCTCCCTCCCCAACCCTGACGAAATGTTAATATCACAGATCTACTGCTTCTGTACTGTGGTCCTTTGGAGGGTGACAAATCACTGTAATATCTAAAACTTTTCTCACCCCACCCCAGCCCAGAACGGATTTTCACCCCTGCTGGGAATGCACTGTCGGTGTGGTTGCAAATCCTGAGCAAGCGGGTCTAAATGGAGATGTTTCTCAGTATCGGCAGAACCTCCTGCCCTGTGCACTCTCTTGACCAGAGTCAAGTGGCGACTCAGGGACCCAGAAGGGAGACCTCTCGGAGTCTATGACAAATGTCTCATCAGGCCGCTAGCCACAGCCTCTCCCTCCACAGCCTCCCTCCTGCCCTGGCCTTGCCCGGTGGCCTCCAGAGCCAGGGAAGCGGGCACGGCGTGCTGGGAAGGGACTTGGAGACATCCACCCAGCAGTTCCGGTCCTGGAGTTCACGGTGGATAAATTTGAGGAGTTTCCCTGAAATCACACGCTCAATCTTGTAGATAGAGATGTCTGTGCACTTGTCCCAGGAAAAGGGACCGTAGCTTTTGTGAGTGTCTCTGAAATGGGCAAGAGATGGGTCTGGTCCAAAGCCGCACCCCTCTCACCTGGACTCGAACTTCCTGTAGCTCCCTCCAAAGCACCCCCCGCAGCCACAGCCCCACACCCCCACACCAAGCTCTCCCCCAGGTTCTCCACCCCCGGCTCTCCTCTCTGCCTCAGCTCTGTCCCACACCGGTCCCCACCCGGCTCTCCCACCCGGGCCCTCATCGCGCGGGGCAGCCACAGCAATCTCTCTGCAGTGCAAACCAGGCCCTCCTCTTCCTTGCTTCAAACCCTCGGAGACAGCTGCTTATCACACCTGGAGTAAAATCCAAACTCCTCGCCACGCCTACAAGGCCCAGCATGATCTGGCTCCAGCTCCCCCAGCCCTGCCTGCCACGACCTCACGCAGCCACACTGGCCAGCTCTCCGTGCCTCAGTCACCCGACCTCGGTCCTGCCTTAGGCCTTTGCTGTCAGCCACGGCCTCTTCCTCTCTGCCGCTGCCCCACCCCCAACACAGCATCGCTTCTTTTCCTGCCAGATCTCAGCTGAAATGGTATCTCCTCGGGAGGCCTCCCCTGCCCACCCCGCCTAAAGCAGCGTCCCTGGCCCCCATCACATCGCCCTACGTGAGATCGCGCTGCAGAGCTCCTATAGTCATCTGGTATTTTTCCTGTTCGTGTCTTTGTCTGCTCGTGGACAGTGGAGGTCTGTCTCCTCCACTGCAACGTAATTCCACCGGGGCACAGGCCTCGTCCGCCTGTTCGCTGCTGTCTCCCCCGCAGCTTGAACAGTGCCCGAAACATGACAGGCCCTCAGTTAATACTTCGTGAATGAGGAGTGAATGGCGCTTCTCATTTTCCAGGTGAGGACACTGAGCTTCCAAAGGGGAAATGACTTGCCCAAAGCCAGCCTAAGGAGGGAAGCGTCAGCGTAGAAACCAGGTCTCTTTGCTGCACACCCCAGCTCCCTGCCACCTGCAGTCCCCGCCTGAGACTCACCTCCTAACCTCTCAGTTCCCAGGAGACATAGTCTCCCGGTCAGTCTCACCTCCCCTGTCCTCTCCAGGGCACTGGCCTGGAATCTCAGGGATGGCGGTGTTTCTTACTGTTTTTATTGTGGTAAAACACATGTAATATAAAATTTACCATTCTGACCATCTTTAAGTATGCAGTTTGGTGGCATTAAGTACATTCGCGCTGTTGTGCAACCATCACCACCTTCCGTCTCCAGAACTCCTTTCATCTTGCAAAATCAAAACTCTGTACCCATTAAATAATAATGTCCCTAACAACCCAGTCCCTAACAACCACCATGCTATTGTACTTTCCGTCTTTAGGACTCTGACCACTCTAGGTACTTTGTATGAATGGACTCATACAGTATGTGTGCTTTCTTCAAGATTCATCCATGTTCTAGCGTGTGTCAGAATTTCTTGCCTTTTGAAGGCTGAATAATATTCTATCATATGCACACGCTAACTGTATGTATCCCTTAGTCGGTGGACATCTGGGTTGTTTCCACCTTTTGGTTATTGTGAATACTGCTGCAGGGAACATGGCAGGGCAAAGATCTGCTCAAGTTCCCACTTTCAATTCTTTTGGGTAAAACCCAGAATTGGAATTGCTAGATCACATGGTAATTCTATTTTTAATTTTTTGAGGAACCACCGTACCGTTTTCCATGGTGGCTGCACCATGTCACATTTCCACCAGCAGTGCACAGGGTGTTTTCAGTCCTGTTTGTTTGTTGACGGCGAGAGGAAGGGGAGCAGACGCAGCTGAGGCCTGTGACCTCGAAACTCCGCGCACAGCCCGGCGCGTCAGACTTCGGCCACTCGCCCTCCTCTTGCCGGCTCCCCGGTCCCTGAATTCCAAGCGCACCCATGTGGGGCCAAACGCTTCGCCAGCTTACACGTGAGGAGGTCCCCAACTGTCCCCTACCCAGGCCAGTTCCCGTTTCTGAATTTACTTCAGTTTTCTGCAATCCACATAAAATCCACTCGCACAAAGAAAATCTATTCACAAGCACTGGCTCCCAGACTCCCCCCAAGGCTCCACCAACACAGGGTAAATGAAGCCACTGTGAAAACACGACCCATGAGGTCTTGGACGTTTGTTGCGAGTCACCAGGCCTGAAGCCCACTGCTTACCGGTGGTGGGGGTCCATGTGGGGGTGGGGGCGGGCGACGGTTTGGAGCTTCCTCTTCCCTAGGCCAGCAATAACCTAATTCTGGCAACCAAAGTCAGAAATAGTCACGTTTGCAGAGCAAAGAGGAAACATTTACCATGTTTAGATTAAAGCACCACATACGTTCGTTTCGCAGCAAAAAATAGGTTTTGGTGTTCTAGAACAGTGGTTCCTCAACTTAGGTGCATCAGAATCGCCCGGAGGATTTGAGACGGATTGCTGAGCCCCACCTCCAGAGTTTCAGACTCCCCAAATCAGAGGTAGGGCTCAAGAATTTACATTCAAACAAGCTGCTGGCCCTTGGGGCACACTCTGAGTAGCAAGGTACTGGGGGGGGTCTAGAAGATCTAGGGTTCAGCTCCTGAACACATGTCCTACACGAACTTCCAAGGCAGGGAGCAGAGGTGGCTGGAAGGGGAACTTCAGACCCAGCAGAACCTTGTGGGCAGAATCAGAACACAGCCCTTGGGTGAGCTCCAGACTGATTCAGGCTCTCAAGAGATAGTGGCTGAGGCCGGGCGCGGTGGCTCGTGTCTGTAATCCTAGCACTCTAGGAGGCCGAGGCAGGAGGATCACTTGAGCTCAGGAGTTTGAGGCCAGCCTGAGCAAGAGTGAGACCCCTTCTCTACAATAAATAGAAAAATTAGCCAGGCATGGTGGCATGTGCCTGTAGTCCCACCTTCTCGCGAGGCTGAGGCAGGAGGGTAGCTTGAGCCCAGGAGTTTGAGGTTGAGCTGGGCGGATGCCACTGTACTCTAGCTGGGGCGACAGAGCAAGAGTCTGTCTAAAAAAAAAAGAAAGAAGGAAATAGTGACCGAACCTGTGCGAGTACTGACACCTTTCATTTGCAGAATATCTCACAGTTTACAGAGCTTTTTAATTCTGTCCTCTTGTCCTGTCTTCACAAGAGCCCTGTTGTTGTCCCCATTTTAGAGACAAGGAGACTGAGGTTTGCTGAGATAAAGCAGCTTGTCCAACCCAGTACCTACCTGTAGCTTTCACTGGACAGGTGCCTGTGGAGCAGGCACATGCTCACTGTACCGGGCTGGACATGGGGGACTTGGAGATGAACAAGAAACGGCTCCCACCCTCAGGAACCCCCAAGCGCGCAAGACGGGAATGCCAGATGCATGGGTTACTACCACACGAGGCATGGGGCGGTGGGTGCCGCGGGTCTCTCTCCCACGCACTCTCTGTGGGATGGCATCTCCTACTCTCCGATGACTCCCAGGCCTCTCCCAGGCTGCAGGTCGACATAACCACCTTTGCCCCACCTCACGGGACATGCTCAGTGAGGCCCACGCCGGGTCTGTCATTTTCTTTGCTATTCCACTCTTGGAAGGGGCATCCCTCTGCCCGACTACTCGCGTGGGGTGGCGGGCCTTTGGGTGCCTCCCTCAGCTTCCTCTGCAGCGGTTGTAGATTACCAAGATCTACGATTTTCAACTCCTGAGTATTTCCCGCGTCTGCCTCCTCCTCTTCAGCCTCTCACCAGCCTCTAGACGGGTCTGGTGACGACTTTCTCCCCAGAGTCAGCACGACAGCCCCCCACCGGGCTTCTTGTCTCTGCCTCACTGCCCTCCCGTCACCCAGCCATCTTCCCGCCCGCCTGTCCATCCATCCGTCCAAGGAGTCATTCACATAACAAATACTCACTGAGTGTCCACTACAGGGGAGGCACTAGACACTGGCTCCTGGTGTCAAGTGGCTTTTAGTCTCACAGGGGAGGGGAGAAGATAAGTGAAACCAGTTCACAGGGAGCGCACAGGATTTTATGAGAGTTCACGGGAGGGGACCTAACCCTGTCAGGAAAGGCCTTCCTGAGCAGAGACAGTGACGCCAGGATCAGGACTGGGTGCTGCCCAGGCGGAGGGGAGCTTCTGCCTGTGGAGAGTGGGTGCAGCTGGCCAGATGCAGCAGGGAGAGAACAGGCGCCTTTGGGGAGAGGCCAGTAGCCTGGCACAACGGGATCTAGGTATGAGGTGGGCGCGGCCAGAGAGGAGACACAAGAAGCTGTAGAAACTGACAGAAGGGAGGTGAGGAACAGCCAGGGACAAATCTGAGATGTTTCTCAGTGCCTGGTCCTTAAAGGCTCTCAGAAATTATTTGTGAGATGGATGGATAGATGGGTAGAGTGGGGTGGTAGATGGATGGGTTGATGGGTGAGAGGTAGGTGGGTGAGTGAAGGGTGGACAGAAGGATGAATGGGTGGTGGGTAGGTGAGTGGGTGGGTGGGTGAGTGGATAGGAAGATGGTGGGAGGTTTGGGGGCTGGGTGCTGGGACAGTGGGGACGTCACGAATAGAAACAGGAAACTGAAGCAGGAGTATCACCGTGGCCTCCTCTCAGCTGGTCCCACTGGTCCAGGCCCTACTGTGGCCAGCTCTCCCTTCTGCCACTCCCTAAGGACGGGCACCCCCAGATGGAAGCTGCACCTTGACAGGAGAGTCCCTTCCATACCCGGTCTCCACAGGAACCTTGCTCCTCAAAAATCAAAGAACACAGTGGATGCAAAAGTGTCCTGTACATGGAAAACCGGGCATGCATGAAAGAATCAAGCCACATCTGTCGAGAGCCCTCCACGTGCCGGTCAGTCTCTGTACGTTCACTCTCTCAGCACCACTCTCCTTCCTCAGCTCCCATTTCACAGATGGAAAAAACTGAGGCTCGGAGAGGCGAACCAACATGCTCGGGACTCCACAGCTAGGACGTAGACTGGGCCACATTTTCCTCAATGTCACACTCTCTGTTTATCACAATCATCCCTGAACAATCACCCTCAATCCCCGAGCTCAGTCAAGCTCCAGTCCGCACAGATGCCACTGCAAGGGTCTCCAGGCTTGGCCCTGGGCTAGTCCCCTGCACTGGAGGATGCTCTCCCAGGCCATGTCTTTAACACCCATTGAGGAAAACTCACCCCGATGCACCCAGTCTGTGGTTTCTCAGGGTGGAGGGTGTTAGAGAAAAGAATTAAGAAATTCTTGATTAAGAATTAAGAAACTGAGAAAAACTACACACAGAGTGACCCAACACCTAAAAGCAAATCTTTAGACAAATACTAATCAGTGTAGAGGCCTCCGAGGACTTTAACGATCAAGAGAAATGAAGCCCCTACAGGAAGGAAAGGCCTCTCTGACGTAAGCTAGGAGTCTCTTGCACGTTCCAAGCCAGAAGGCGGAGGTGCCTCAATGCTAGATTTCAGCCGGCACATAAACAATAATCTAATTCGTCACCCTGCTCTTCCGTGTGGCGCACACCACGGCACGCACACAGACAGTTACTCACGGTGCTGGGGCTGCTCCCGGGAGCTCCAAGCCCACAGAGCCGGGGAGTGTCCTGTGGGCCCAGCTTCCCTTCCCTTTAGCTGGCCAGACCTCTCCCGGCTTCAGACCCGGCTATTTCATTTCCCAAAAGTACTTTTTTATTCCCCTCTGAGCTGGGGTAGAAATCAGGCTGCATTTTTCCTTAGTCCCCATCTTCCCCCCAGATAATAGCCTCACTCCAGCAAGACAGCGCAGACAACAGAATCTCATCTCCAACACCCTTGCAGCTGTTTCAAAGTTCAGTCCCACCTGGGCTCATGCAGACCCTGTGCGTCAGGTGGGGCTGGCATTGCTAAGCCATTTCACAGAGTCTGAAGCCCAGAGAGGCTAAGCCAGTTGCTCAACTTCACACAGTAAGTTTGGGGCAGGGGGGAATCAGAATCTAGAACCCAGGCGTCCAGGCACCAACTTGCTGCCTTTGAGCTCTTTGACCGTAGCAAGGAACACACTTTACATTGCAACCCTGCACACATAGACACACACACAGACACGCACACGCGTGCATCCATATAAAGAAACGAACTTCCCCAAAGCAATACTCACCCTAGTACTTGCCATGCACCCCGATATTTTCTGTTCTATTTCATTTTTTAAAACGCAGGTCACGAACTACTAAATTGATTTTCTGACCCACTAATGGGTCATAAATAACCAGGAGTTTGGAAATAGCTGGAGGGAGCCCCACCTGTTCCGCTCTCCTGAGCCTCCTGGGCCCCAGCAAGGCCGTGTGGTCTCTGCAGCCAGGTGCAGGCAGGAGTGGCAGCTCCGGGAATCAGGCTGGGAGTCCTCCGAGGGGGGAGTCTGGCACAGTCCTCCGTCCCAGCTGGGCTCTGCCCGCAAACCTCAAGCAGCCGGCTTCCTGCAGCCGGCCCCCAGCTCTCCCTCCGGTGATTTCCCGCAGACCCAGCCTCCCAGCTCCATCTAGAAAATCCCCAGCTGGAAGCTGCCCATTCCTGTGCTGAGGCAGAATCATGTGAACTCCAATCTGGTGTCAGGCTAGGCGGTTGCCGAGGAACCGCTCGCCAGCCAGAGGCGGCAGCCTGGGAGCTGCTCCCTCCACGCATCCTCCCTGCTTCCCACACCCCCAGAGTCCGTGGGCAGCCCTGCGGGGGATGGTAGAGCCTGAATGAGGGGCAGGGGCCCTCCGAACTGGGGGGATGCAGGAGGAGAGGGGTGTGCTGATGCTCTCAGTCAAACCACCTTTGTGCGCCTGCAGGGGAGCAGGAGAGGCAGGATGTTGAACCCCTGCCCCGGGGGTCCTCACCTGAGCCCCTCAGGCCTCTGTCCAGTAACTAGATTACACCGTGGTCACTGCTGTAATGTGGACACCGGCAAGAACAACAGGAAAACAGGCAAGGACAGGCGGAAGCTGCCCACATCTGGGTCAGTGGGTCTCCATCCTGGCCACGTGCATGAGAAAATACCTGGGGAGCGTATAAACAACAGCAATGCCAGGCCCTCCCCCAGACTGATTAAATCATGCTTTCTGGAGGTGAGGTGCCAGCATCAATGTTTTTCAAAGCTCCCTGGCCGATTGTAAAGTGCAGCGAGGGTGGGGAACCACCACGGGGTGAAGGCAGGCGGGACCCTGCCCTGCAGACCAACAGAGCCAGGGCAGTGGGGTCAAGCCTGCGGGCAGGAAGAAGGTAAGTATCTACGTTTTACACCGTCGATACCCACCGCAGGGACCAAGCACAGGGCTCGGCCTCACCGGGTCTTCTGGCTCTCAGCAGCGCTTACTGAACTCCCTCCCTGGGACACCCTCAGCACAGGGGCCGGAAAGGACCCCTGGAGGTTACGCAGCCCAGACTCCTGTAACTCAGGCCCAGAAGGGCAAAGGCTCCTGACCAGGGCTGACAGCTAAATGGTGACAGAGCTGCGACTGAAACTCCTGCCGACTTTAGCTGCCATGCGATTTTGGCTTAGCTACCTCCCTCCAACGTAGTCCCCTCCAAGATAGAATACGGTGCCGGAGCCAGGAAGCCAACAGACACCCTGTGTGGGTCTCACTGGGGCTGCGAGTTCTCCCTGCTCCACTGGGTGATCTGTGGGGCCCGTCTTCTCCACGAGTCCCCTGTCTGGGAACCATGTTGGTAGGGGTCCGAGAAAAGTCCACTTCTGTGGGGTCCGGGTCCTCTAAGCAAATGCTACCGCATAAACGGGCCTTTTAAAAACTGTCTCCTATGTCAGTTGCTTCTCATAGGCCTTAGGTTACAGGCAAAAGGCTGCAACTTGTTATAGTGCAATAATTTGCATTTAGACACAGATGCTATTTCTAAGTTGTAGAAATGTGGCTGGCTTTCCCTGATGTCGTATGGAAGGACTGGAGAGTTAGAACAGGATCAACTTAGTGGTGACTGCGTGGCCACCCCCCAGGACATACCCCACCAGAGAGAGCACCTCTGGCCCTCTCTAAGGGACAGCCCAGCCCAGCACAAACAGGCCGTTTATACTGTCGCCGTCTACACCTGCAGGAACCACTGATGGTACTGTGTTCCTCCCTCCCCCCAGCACCTTCTGGGACCAGCCCCTCTGCCAGCAGCATGCCCCACACCTCACCCGGAATAGGGCCACCTCCTCCTTCCCCACTGGACCCTTGGGATGCAGAATGAGGCGTGAAGCTTCCTTCGGATTTACTCAAATTGGCTAAGCCCCTGTGCTCTGTGAAGTGCCCACCTGGGGAGGGGAAAAAGAGCCCATGCTGCGTGCGTTTTACGCTGGTGCTGGGGTTTTGTCTTTAACCTAAACAGGAAGGGAGGACTAGAAGTAGCAGTGACACCAAGCAGAGGCCCCATAACCTCCACCCGCCTCGTAAACTTCTCCAAGTAAACCTACAACTAAGGAAAAGTAGTTTTATAATAGAAACGTAGCCTCAGGAACAGCCCCTGGCCCCCTCCTCCCATCCAGGCTTCCACCATTCAGCCCAAAGTGGCAGAATCTTGGGAGCGGCCACCGACCAGAGGATGAGAATGCCTGAGCCCCGTGGGGCGCCCCCACCCACTGTGCTCCTCCCGTCCTGGAAAGACATACTGGCCTAAACTGGGCCAGGCCTGCCACTTGCATTCATTTCCCACCCCTCCTCCCTCCATCTCCCTGTCCCCAGTGATGGCAGTTGTGAAGCACCATCCACCCCCTCTGGGATGGCAGCCCTGGAAGGTTGGCCTGAGCCCTGGACATCCTTATTGTGCCCCCAACATAAGCATCTGCTCCAGGCATCTGGGCAGGTAGACTTTTCTGAGCTTCTCTGGAGGCTGCTTTGAGGACAAGAGGGCCCAAGACCACAAGGCCTTCAGGCACCCCCGGCCTCCCAGAGATCCAGGCAGCCTAGGGGTCAGCACAGAGAAGATCCCAGGGCGTTCCCTTGGCTGGTGGCACCACGCAAGGCCTCCAGCACATGGCAGCAACCCCAAGGTCACTTGGGGGACAGTATGGGATAGAGGTTGAGAGCAGAGGCTCTGGGCCAGACCATGGAGGTCAAGTCCCCATGCTGCCCCTTTCTGGCTATGTGACCTTGAGAATCACACACCCTGCTGCCCAGGGGACTCCTGTGAGGATCAAAGGAGATGGGCCCAGCAAGTGCCTGGCACTTAGTACGCCCTTGAGGAGGTAGTGCAGATGCAGTGGTGGTGGTGGTGGTGATGATGACGATGATGATGACCATGGCGGCATCAGTCCTCAGGCTCGAAAGTCCTGCCCACCACCTGATCCACCCTAGACGGGGTGGAGAATGGGCAGGCCACCTTGGTGAGACATCTGTCACGGAGCACCACCTTATTCCCCATGAGGGAACTGGAGGTCACTCAAATTACTCTACTGATTTGAGGCTAGTTGGGGTAGCGGCCTTAGAGGCTCCGCAAGGGCTTTGACAAATACAAGAGGTGCCTGTAATCAGCCATCTGCAGTTTGACTGCGGGGACCTTTCCTGAAGTGTCTAGAAGGTGGTCCTGGTCTTCCACTTTAGCACACGCTGACACCCAAGGAGCCGATGCAAAGGTCACCAGGGCATCTGGGGGTGCTGCGTTGTTGCAGGTTCGAAAGGGGCCAGGCCTGAATTAAGAATGGCTCTGCAGGAAGCTTCAACAACCAGGAGGAGGGACGGCAGAGAACTTAGCAAACCGTTTGGCACCAGGGCCCTAGTGGGTTAGAGAAGAGCCGTCATCACCACTGCCTGAGCATGTCCTCTGAACCAGGTGTTGTGCTGAGTCCCTTCCAAACACTTTCTGGTTTTGTTTTTTTAATTTTTTCCCAAGGACAGGGTCTGGAGGAGTGCAGTGGCTATTCACAGGTGCCAGGATCGTGCACTACAGCCCTGAGCTCCTGGGCTCGCAGTCCTCCTGGCTCAGCCTCGCAAGTAGTTGGGACTGCAGGCACGTGCCACCACCTAACAACTTTGTTTCAACCCTCCCGTCAAGCCCACGTGGCAGGGATTATCCTTGTTTTATAAATGAGGCAAATGATACTCAAAAGCTACAGGACACCTGCCCAGGTCACACAGCCGGTAAACAGCAGAGCTCTGATTTGAACCTAGGGCAGTTTGACTCCAAAGACAGGGCTCTTGACCACTGTGTTAGTGTCCTATGGCTACTGTAACAAATTGCCACAAATTTAGTGGCTTGAGACAATCTTACAGTTCGCAAGGTCCAAAGTCTGACCTGGGCGAAAATTGAATTGTCTGCAAGGCTGCTTTCCCACGGGGCGCCTGGGGGAAATCTGTTTCCTTGCCTTTTCCAGCTTCTGGAGGCTTCCAGCGTTCCTTGCCTCGTGGCACCCGTCTCCAAAGCCAGCAGTGGTGGATTGAGTCCTTCTCACATCACATGGCTCTGGCCTCTGCTCCTGTCATCGCGTCACCTCTGACTCTGACCCTCCTGCCTCCCTCCTCCAGTTTTCAGGACTTTGTGATAACATTGCACAATCTCCTTACTTTAAAAAGGTCAGCTAATCGGCAACCTCGATTCCACCTGCTACCTTAATCCCCCTTCGCCACGTAAGGTGACATGGTCGCAGGCTCTGGGGGTTAGGAATCAGGCATCTTTGGGGGGATTATTCTGCCTCCCACATCCACCCCGTTATACTGAGACCCTGTACAGCAGCACTGGCCAAGTGTGCGCTCTCGTTAAAGTGCAGGAATCTCGTTAAAGAAGTGCAGCTTCCGGTGCAGCAGGTCTGCGGTGGGGCCTGAGATTCTGCACGTCTGACGGGCTCCCAGGCCTGAGCTGAGGCCCCCCTTTATCTCTCTGTGTCACAGCAGCTAGCACAGTGTTGTACCGTGTTTGGACTAAACAAATACTTGATAACTGCAGGAAGGGGCGTGGGGAGGAAGGAAGGAAGGAAGGAGGAAGAAAGGAAGGAAGGAAAGATATCTGGACAATGCCCTCCACTCCTACTGCAACCAGGACGAAGTCTAGTAAGAAGAGAGAAGAGAGCAATAAAGCCGAAGCCACAGGAACCAACCAGTCATGCATTGTGAGGGGGGCTGAGACTGAGTCCCTGTGCAGGGGAGGGCTTCGAGCTGTGCCCTGGGTTGGGGGCAGAAGGCTGAAGGGCGCAGGGAGGGAGGAGGCCCCCCGCAGGCCCTTGGCACACCCTGTGCTGTGAGGCCCCACTTGTGGCCCACCCTTTTCCCAGCCTCTGGTCCCCACCAAATGTCCCTTACCACCACCCCATACGCTTCTCCCCATTCCTCAGGGCAGTGTGTCTCGTGTGTCTCAGGTGAGCTTCGGGACACCTGGGTCAGTATCCCCCGGGTGCCTGTT